TGTCGAAGATCTACGTTGCTTTTAATAGCTCTGGTTGTAAGATAGGATAGAGCATCTTCTCTGATACTCACTCTTCAACTTTCATGGAATTTAGTTGCGAAATGTAGATGCTAGGACGTGTACGATCATAGGGAAAAAATCGAGTTTTCTCAAAAATTTATCTTTTGAAGATTCTGTATTCCCGGCAACAAAACGAACATTGCCACGAGATTCCTCGCCTCCAAAAGCCTATGTTTCATGTGTTTTAAGTTTTCCAGACTTCAGATTTAGTCGATAAGTAAGTCGCCGGAGATTGTCTGTAGCCTCAGAACCACGGTAGATGGAGGCCTGGAACGTGCGCCAGACTGTAGAGTGACATGCGTTCTATATCCAAATAAATTTAGATCAGTATCTCACTGTACATAAACTTTTATAATTGCAAGCTCGGCTTTTTCACTCGAAAAGTGCATCATGGAAAATATGTTTGTAAAAGCTTCTAAAGGCACAGTTAAATGCCCTCCTTGGGCGAACATGATCTAGGCATCCAATATCCTATAGATAGACTAAAGCGAGCTCTATCGAAAAGTGGTTTTAAACTTCTACGCAAAATCATTTGAGACACGTTTTAAAGGTTTTTCCTTAAAAACGTGGGAAAAATCAGAATTCTGCCTGTAATTCTCAGTTTTCTCCATCAGAACTCATTTTTTTATACGATTCAACTATCATATTCAGAATCAGAGTCAGCCTCAAAAGCTGAGTCGAACGATATGTATTTCAGAAGTTTTCGTTGATTTTCATTTTTTGGTGAAAATCCCAGTAATTTCTCGATATGAAAACTCGGAAAAAACAAAAGTGGTCCGATAGGATAAAAAGGTATATCGTTCGTCTCAGCTTTTGAGGCTGATTCCGAATATAATAGTTGAATCGTATAAAAAATGAGTTCTAATGGAGAAAACTGAGAATTACAGACAGAACTCTGATTTTTTCCAGGTTTTTAAGGAAAAACCTTTAAAACGTGTCTCAGATGATTTTTGCCTAGAAGTTTAAAATCACTTTTCGATAGAGCTCGCTTTGGTCTATCTACCCTGGATATTGGATGCCTTGATCATGTTCGCCTAAGGAGGGAAGTGCGTACAATGTTGCTTGATTAAATAAGGACCCCGCCGGTTACGAAAAGTTGCTCCGTTTGATCTCGCATTTTAGGATTTCGTAGAGTAATGAAAGACAAATTTTTCGATATTGTTAAAAAAATTTTCAAACTCTTTCTTCACAAAAACGTGTGATGAAAACTTTTTCTTGTCATTTCCTACCAGTCAAAGTTATGATTGTTTAAACTTCTTCTAGAAATGTTATCTAAGGCTCGTTCACATATCACCGTGTGCAGTTTTCGATGCTCTTTCCGAATCACTATAGGATGGTTAGGCCAACTTCACTCTTGACGGAACGGCAGCTAAATTTTTCGAAGTGGTCGAATTTTGACCAAGAACCTATATCAAACAATTTGGCTGGTGTTCGCTAGGGTTAAGGTGTTTCAATAAGATTTTGTCCAAAAACCATCAGAGATTTGATTTTGTCCTGGAACAAGGCCAACCACGTGTATCTATGCAGTTCTTGAACTATATTTTTTATGTTTCTAACATCATGACCAAAATGCATCTGTGACCTTTTTGCTTTTGCAGCTTGCATTTTTTTCTCCAAGAGAAAAAAGTATCCCCTTATAGATATTCAGATATTTAGTTATACCACCTCTACATATTTAGATATATTGAAATGTAACATCTCTAGATATTTAGATATTTAAATATTTCGAAATGTATCCCCATCAGACATTTACATATTTACATTGTGCAGGTTTATATTTTATAGGCTGGTTAAGCCTTAATTCTGGGTAACGTCCTTGTGCTGTTGTCTGAGTTACTGAAGTCTGTATGTTTCGGTATTCAGAGCTTTCCGACATCTTGCGACAACTCATCACAAAAGTACTGCACGCACTGTGTAACGGATTGATTTTGTTGTAGTTACATGTCGTTAGGAGCACTAGAAAAACTGAAAAATGACAGTAATGACAGACACCTTGACTCGCTGTACTCTTCTCCATGTTAGTCATTACTGTTACTGTGCAGGTCAATCTGCAAAAGTTTTCGGCTTTATCTAGTGGATCATCCACCGAATATTTCCTTACTCTCGGACAATGGACAAGTGATGAAGAATATGGAACCGAACATTCTGCTTCTGTGCACAAAATAGTGGGACTGGATCGCTCGGAATAATATCAAAAGACGTTTTATATAGCTAAGAGCCTCGTTATACTACAATAGTGTATCGGTATTAACTTCAAAATTTTGAGAAACACATCAGTCGATGCAGTTTCACTTCCTGTTTCGAACGAAACTAAGCACGATTACCTACGATGTAAAATGGCAGAGGAAAACGCAAAAAAGTGAAAATGACGGTTCTTCGGAGGACTCTTTTGGCAAACTCTGTAACGCAGGAGGAAATGGTTCGGATGCTGTACAAAGAGGTGCTTGGCAACCACGCAAAGCTCTTTGTTTTACCTTAAAAACGTGTTTTGAACAAGTTTGAAATGAAATCAAGCGAAAAAAGATGAAAAAAACGTTTTTTAAAATATTCGAAAAATACATACTTTTTTCATTAAAGTGACTCTGTTGCTTAAAGTCGAGTTGAAAATTTTTTTGACAATATCGAAAAATTTGTTTTTCATTACTCTACAAAATCCTAAAATGCGAGATCAAACGGAGCAACTTTTCGTTACCGGCGGGGTTCTTTAATGTGATTTCTTTGACTTTCAAGTCAGTACAACAATACTATTTACCTACAATATACGACAACCTTTATCGTTCTTTTCTCTGTTTTTCTTTTCTTTATTTACTATGATAATCTATTTCGCTTTCAGAGCTAACCTAGCTCTAATAAACGATAAAAAGATAATTCTCAACTACACAACGCAATCAACTTTGTTCGTGTGCAGAAAAATAATCCTACGAGAAAAATAAACGCCCGAACGGGGGCTCGAACCCCGGGCCTTGTGGTTAAAAGCCACACGCTCTACCGACTGAGCTATCCGGGCATGTCTTTACATAACTGGAGCTTGTCTAGAACTTGTCTATACAATACAACAGCCTAGGTTTGACACGTAATAAATCAGAAAAATGCGTGTCTATTTCACTCCAGTTTAAATTTAGTCTGGAGAAGCAGTGCTAAACGGTGGTGAACGAAGGATAGCTATATATTTATACGACTGTTTTAAGCGTATCAATTATTCGTATGGAATTGATAACTTATTTTTATCGTCACAAACTATACTATGTCGGGTATAGATTGTGATTTCTTTGGCAATTTTCAAAGAAATCACATTGAATTTTTATTTACTGATGAAGGTTTTATCAATCTTTCTGTTAATATTGGAAGCGTTGCAGATGTAGCCCGGAAGCCCCATTTATTCGATTCAAGTTGAACCATACTTTTTATGTTTCTAACGTCATGACCAAAATGCATCTGTGACCTCTTCGCCTTTGCAGCCTGCATTTTTTTCTCCAAGAGAAAAAAGTATCTCCTCGTTAGGAGCACTAGAAAAACTGAAAAATGATAGTAATGACAGACACCTTGACTGGCTGTACTCTTCTCCATGTTAGTCGTTACTGCTACTATGCAGGTCAATCTGCAAAAGTTCCTCACAACTTCTCACTCGGCTAAACCAGCACTGCTCTCCGCTCGAAGAAAATATTTTCGTCTTGCTTATTTTCATAAACTATACAATGGGAGAAGTGCTTTGTCTGCTAGAAACCTAATTACTCCGCCAACACATCGACGGTCGTGTAGAATAACGCATGACAAACAAATTCAAAAAACGGGTGGGGGACTCCCACCTTAAAACTTAGATGTGTTTTTTAATTGTTGTTGTTTTGTTTTAATAGGTTTTTTTGTGCATATTTATGAGATTTTTATATTGTTCTGCACAGATGGACTGTCTTTTTTGCATAATATAATTAATAATCATGACTCGCTTATTTCTTCTCACTACGTGAAAAGGAGGTATTGAACACTGTTACTAAACCTGGTCATGCTGCTGTCTAGCTGAATCTTCTGAAAGGCCTCAGCTTGTACATTAACCGTAGTTTTACAACATACTTTTTGCATTTTGGTAGACCAAACGATAAAATCATTTCGACAAAAGTAAACTGTAGGACGCTGGGTTCTTTTAGGAATAATATAAACAATATTAGTATATCTAAATAATCCATCTAGTACACAGCTGAGCTGAAGTGTGTTTTCTTATTATAACACATTTTGAATAAGTTAATAATAATAAGGTGAATGTTTTGCAAACTAATAAATTTATGCTTATGTCAAACGATACTCGGCACACATGCGAGCGTTTTCTTCACAATTATTATTATGCCAATTACTGAAATTACGAACACCATCATTTGACTAATAAAATTCGCTGTAATAGCTGTTACTGTATTTATCTTAAGTTTGAACACTGATACCTTTCGAGCATTGATATAAATTTGTTTAGCTTTCACTCTTGTATCGGTCATTTCCATCACTAATTTGTGAAGACATCTAATTTTGTTTAATTTCTTGTTTTATACATAGATAGATTTCCTTGATGCATATCATGTGTTATTACAATGTCGTTTGGAAGTACATAGACGTTATTCCTACCACTTGAGCTGCACGATAGATCTTCTGATTCTAAAACACAATTCTCACAATGTAAGTGATTTTCACATGGTATTGTTATCAACGACAATGGTTCAATTTGTATTATATATTTAGACGCGAAATTTGTTATTGTGCACGATATTTTTCGATTAATTGCAAAAATAAATGTGTTCATGGATAGTTTATATACACGAAATGTGTCTTTCATTAACTACTTAGATGAATAATGTTCATAATTGTCGTATGTAACGTTAGATATAAACAAACTTTTTAAGCATAAATTATTCACATTATCCATTATTCCTAATCGATGTCTACATAACAGTAACCCATTAGTCCACGAACATAGAAACATCCCCATATCCTCTTCTGTACAATTCTATAAACTTATTTGTTTTGACATTCATTCCAATAAATATCGGGACTTCAGTTGTTTCATATCCAACGTTTTGTACAAAAAATGGAAGACAGTGTACCTCAAAAAGATGAAATGCGTTATTATCTATGTTTGTTGGTAATGTGAAAGTTGTACTGATACGTAGTTGAACAATAATTGCTGGTTCAGTTTCATCTTTTTTATTTGATACATTTTGTTTCACGAAATCAATGTTCTGCTCGTAAATCAAATGTTTAAGTAATGACGCCATTGACATATTTAGACTAGTAATTGATGGATTTTTAGAAAATAATTGCCGATATAACACAAGTTTTTGTTCCGATGTCAAAAAATCAACATTATGTTCATTATTTTCAATATCGGTAACCAATTTAACTAAGATATTAGAATGAAGACATTGCATGTTGTAAAGGATACGTGTAATCAGTGACCGAGCTTGTCCATTTAGAGTTCCCGATTTCATTTCATCTTCCACTTGCGTTAATTCTGTAACCACCGTTTCGACCACATAAGCCAATTCAACATTCTGATCGCTGATCACAAATATTTGACCACTGTTGTTTACTGATGATATTTGATTCGCACGAGCTTGTTGTGCAACCAAATTAATTTGTTTAGCGTTTCCATTACCATAAATTAAACGCTCACCTTTTCTAAATGTTGAATAAATCCGTTTAGCTAAATCAATAATTCGTTTGCGCCGTATTTTGTTGTTTATTGAACATATTTTAGAATTCTTGTAAGTCGAAGTTAATAATAAACATTATTCATCATTAATAGGCATAAATGAGAACTCATTCCGATGGATGGATGTTCCAACGGGAATTAAAGGTATACCACTATTGATATCAATTAATGGATCATCCGTCCAATGTTTTAAGATGTGTTAAAACACTGTTATTATTGATCATTATTTTCATTTGTTTCACACATGAAACGAAATTCCCAAACATAAGCAGAATCCTACAAGAAGATCAGCAGTAGAAATTTATGCTATTTTCTTAGAATAATAATACTGCTTATCAGATATCAACCATATTGTATATCTTTATTTTATATTTGTCAAAAGTATGGCTGTATATTGTGCAACGAAATATTGGATATTTATTGTTGATGATTATTCAGATACGTACACGTCTAAGAATTTTACACCATTAAAAACTCTAAGAAGTGTCGCAAATACCAGCTTTTTAATACTAGACTTTAAACAGAAGGTCCGTATTCGAGTTATGCAAAACCTACCAAATGTATTTCTCATAATTACAGTTTTTGATGATGTATTTTGACACTAACACGGTTTTCTCCCTATTCATTCATAGTAAAAAAAATGATCGGTCAATATTATTGACGAACAAGGTCGCGATAATAGTATTTATCTTCGAAGGAAAAGAAAAAAACGAAAACTGTAGAAAAGCATGATTCATGCTTTTTTTCCATTTTCGATTAGTTGAGTGCAGAAAACTGTGTCTAATAACGAGTTGAAGAAAGCACTTATCCATCACTTCTATGGAAGGCTTATTTTCTCATATCTGATTAAACAGGTGAAAATATATTTAGTAACATATGATGTTTTTGTAACAGTATTTCAACTTTGAGATGTAAACACCAAAAAAATGTACACTTCTCCATATCAACTTTGAGAAAAGAAAAAGAAAAACTGGAATTTTGCAGTGATGAATCAAATAGATAATGTATGATTGACGGTAGGAGATGCATAGAATAACAGTAAAAAAAAAACATATTTTACAAAAGTTTTAAATTAAGTGCAAGAGTGATTTACGATGGGAAATAATATATAGTTAGCGAGGCAACCACAAACACCCGCATGACTCCACCTACAGTGTCCCGCGCGGATCTCTTGAATAGTTTTCTGAGTGTGCTGTCAGCTGCAAATTTAGAAACGTTAGATAAACTCGATGAAGAAGTTTTCATGTCCATAGCAAATCAATTAAATCTGAAATGGCCAGTTCAACGTCATTGGCTCAAAACGGTGTGAAAAAACAATAGTAGTAACATAAAAACAGAAGCTACTGAATTGTACAATGCATCCAAGCAAGACGCTGAGTACATAGTGGGCTTTTGAGCATTCTGCGAGTTCATTTATGTGTTTTTTGTCTTGTAGAGATGATTCTGTACAACTCACTTCACATGTATCATCAACGTACTTAGAAGAACGTCCAAAATGTTGTGTTTGTAATTCAAGAACGTTTTTAACGAAAAGTATTTCAGAAACGGTTTTGGATCCTCAAACAGACAAAAAATGACAACTGGGATATTCTAAATTATACAATAGACAGTTGGAAACATCTTTAATCAATGAACGTATCCACGAATCTTGTTCCAATAAATTATACTTTGCATCAGTGCCATCGAATCAGGCAGTATAATCACTGTCATCATTATCCATTCCACAAATACAAGCTGGTGAGGACACTATCATCTTTGCACTCCTTAACTTCCTAACTTATAAGAGAAGATATAAGAGATAAAACTGGTCAAAGCTGTGACCAAAATTTGACGCTGAAACATTCATTTCGTCAATGTTACCAAAGTCGTTCTTCCAGATCGATCATTCATGTCTTTTTTATTTATCTATAACTGCTTTAATTTTTCTTGTCCATAACTCATAATTTTTATGACTGATACAGATAGGGAGTGCATCTCGCTACGATCATTAAACGTTTACATCCCAACGGGTATAGTAGTTTTTATTGTCTCCGTTCTAAGGTTATTTAAGTTACTGTGGCTACTTCAGTCCTTGCTATTTACTTCATCCTAATTTTAAAAACCTTTCACTTAGGCATGCATCAAGCTTTTCTACTCTATGCTAAAGATTTAGATCCCGGATACGATAAACCATCAAACACTACCAAGCTTTTGTGATAGGTATACTTAATTTTCTCTACTCTATCTGAAACTAGTTTGGTAGTTTTTCATATGATGCATGCCTAGTTTCACTCACAATGACGTCACCTTCATAGAGTGGGCATCCAGATGGACATTTGGCAAAAAATCAAAAGTATGCTTTCTAAAACTCAAATACAGCCAAATATACTTTAATCTATGGGCTATCTATTGGTGAAAAAATTTTGTTACAAGTGGTAAACTTCTGGAAAAAATGTGTAAGTTAAAAATTGCCTCTATATTTGCGACCTCCTCGGAAAAATAAATGTTTATTGAGTTAAGTGAATTTAATGTTGTAAAAAGATATATATATTTGGGATCTAGACTTTTCCAGCTGTCTATCACTAAAAGAGATTTTTAGTAGAGACTAAGTCTATAAGCGAAATAAAGTGTTTTCTCAACTGAAACTGTGTTTCCGAGAGCTTTTGTTCAGCTTGAAGAGAACACGAAAGTTAGAGAAGGTAAAATTTGACTCCAATTTATATCAAAATGTTCGTCGACATATGCTGTATCTATTGTGAATACATAACATTGCTCTATTAAAAAAATGTCGACCTCGCTTCAGTAAAGGTTGTGTAAGTCAACGATGAACCTTGCTTGTTGCTTGAAAAAGTTAGAATATACTTGACTTTGGCTGTTTCACACATATTTCTAGATGGAGAACTATGGAAAACTGTTAGAGTAAAAATTAGCAAATGCTTTGTTGCTTTTTAATCCAACAATCATGTACGATACTCAATCTGAAGTATATCGTGAATTTTTCAATCAACTTTGGATGAATTACAGATGTCAGCATTAAATCAAGAAAGCAGAAAATTTCATATAATGAATATTCTTTGCCTTCTAGCAGATTCGATACTATGATACAGCCATTGAGAAAGAGGCTCTCGCTTGATTCTCATTTGGTAAGAACACTTGAGACGACGTACCCGTGGAAAAAACTACAACATTTACAAATCGATTCAAACATTCCTTTATTCATGAAGATTTGTTTAACCTAGAAACAGCCTCTATATGCGAGTTTTAGAAATAATGACGGATGAAACCATCATCATCTATATAATGTTGACTTTTAACACCATTAAATCGTGGTATTGATAACGATTCTGAATCATTTATTGAGCCTGTTTCTTTTTCCACAACTGAATAACCATTCATCGGTACAATATTTTTATTTAAATGTGCATAAATACCAATTCGATTAACATTTTTCTTTGGTCCCCAATCATCAGCTGGTAAATTAATTCGTGTAAATGCCTCCAAGTAGCGCGGTTGCTCTTCATGCTCTCGATCAAACTTAAGCTGGTATTGTGTTTTATAATTAAGTGCTTGTAACTAAAATATGAGTTATATGAATATTTCTATATTAAAATATAAATGTCAAATATTCAGTTGACAAATTCAACAAGAACGTAGAATATCATCCGCATTATAACCCTTACCTAACTAAGAATAAATAGGAATCAAAGCTCAGTTGTGTTCTTTCTAGAGGAGGACTAGATGCTGGGCAAGTTTTGGTTCAAGAATCTATTTAATGATGTAATTAGAGCAGTTACAGCAAAAAAGATCAAGGAAATTTAAAAAATATTCCACTGAAAATTGCGTCGTGAACTGCAAGCTTGGACACTTTCAAAAATCAGATGGTATTATTCTTTAGCGGGCTTTGTGTAATTATGATAATCTTTTGATCATAACGATCATACTAGTGGTGTAGCCGTTCACGTTAATTTGGTAACTATTTGAGCGGAAACGGCAACGATTTTAACGTTGAAATTCTAAACTGCCAATGGTATCTATAGACTACAGGTGTTAACGTTAACAGTGTTAACTGCAAGCATTTTTGACAGAGAAGAGATATTCACCTACAGTGGCTCGAAAAATTATTCGTTCATCTACACAGTGTAACTTTGTTTTGTGTGCCATTTCAAAACAAAACAAGATAGAGGGCATCTACAAACGTCATCATGTAAAGTATCATCGTTAGTCTATATCCAAGCCCTTTTAATTTTCTTTTGTTCTTTTAAAAATACTAAAAGATATCCTTTTTTAATATTGAAAAATTATTCGACCACATTTGAAAGAAAATTTCCTTTCGAATAAAAACTGATATTAATGCAAGATATTGATTTATTTGATTACTTGCCTCTTACGAAATATACACGAGTGAAAAACGTCCACGGAGTCAAACGGTTTCTATATGAAAGGATATCATTCCTTCAGGATGTTAAGATGATAGAAATTTTTGTTTCAAAATACTTACGAGGGAACCGCCCGAGGTGATACGCTCCGTTTCTATACCTCAGTCTATGGAGTATATCAAGCTAGTAAAAACCCTAAAAGGATTCGGGTTCATGGCTTTTGAAGAGACAGTTTTCTGGAAAACCAGTTTTTCAGAAACTCTAAAAAATAACCCAAATGTTCGTTTTAATCAGAAATGTGTGCGTCACTAAGGATGTCACTAAGGAAGATTTTCGTTATTTTCTAGAGTTTCTGAAAAACTGTTTTTCCAGAAATCCGTCTCTTCAGAAAGCCATACACCCAAATCCTTTTAAGGTTTTTACTAACTCGATATACTCTATCAATTGAGGTATAACTCATTAGAAATGGAGCGCATCGTGTCAGACGGCTCCTTCGTTAGCCGAATTTCGACAAAAAAGATTATCGCAAAATCGACTTTTTATACGCTGAATAGAATCGGTCCAAATTCTTTTTCTGAAGAGCTTATTGAATGAATATACGGGCAGCAAAGTATCTCTTTATTCAAATCACTTTTCGCATTTTGGCGTAAATAGTGGCGGCGCGCCACTGTTCGCGCCAAAAAAAGTCGCCTTTGCAATAATGTTAATCGTAACGATCTGGAAGCTTGGAAATATATGTTTTGGACGGCATAGATTAGGAAAAGGTCGTGGATGTTTCGGCTATTTTCGATCTATAATAAGTCCAGATGTATTCAAATCCCATTCAAAACATATATTTTCAAGCTTCTAGATCGTTACGATTGATTTCTTGTCGAAATTCGGTAAGTATTTTGAAACAAAATTTCTATCATCTTAACATCCTGGACGAATGATATCCTTTCATATAGAAACCGTTTGACTCCGTGGTTTTTCACTCGTGTGTATTTCGTAAGAGGCAAGTGATCAAATAAATTAAAATCTTGCATTAATATCAGTTTTTATTCGAAAGGAAATTTTCTTTCAAAAGTGGTCGAATAATTTTTCAATGTTAAACAAGGATATCTTTTAGTAAGTTATTTTTAAAAGAACAAAAGAAAATTAAAAGGGCTTGGATATAGACTAACGATGATATTTTACATGATGACGTTTGTAGGTGCTCTCTATCTTGTTTTGTTTTGAAATGGCACACAAAACAAAGTTACACTGTGTAGATGAACGAATAATTTTTCCAGTCATGGTATATAAATCAAGACTTTATAAACAAAAGAAATAAAGATTTTAATGATTCAGAAATGTTTGATTAGTGATTGTTTTTATTAGGCATGCACCGGTATCGGTATTCATACCGAAATACCGATACCGAAAATACCGACTTTTTTCACTTAGAATTTTTTGGACTCTTTCATTTGAAATGAGATGTTTTAGCATCCTGAACAGCCAGAATGAATCAGGGAAGGAAAACAAGAGCTTTGTTTGCTTTCTAAAGGCAAAGTTTTTCTTTTCTTTCTATCTGTACATGCTCAAAACACACAGCTGAGTGTTGTTTATACGTTCTGCTTGTCCAGGATGCTAAAATACCTCATTTCAAATGAAAAAATCCAAAAAATTCCAAGTCAAAAAAAGTCGGTATTTTCGGTATCGGTATATACCGAAGTTCGGTATTTTCGGTGTTCGGTATACCGATATCGGTGCATACCTAGTTTTTATTCATTTAAGGATAAATTGAAAATAGTCTTTGAAAAGACTATCGTTCAAGTAAATGTGGTCGTCACATATTTTACAACTGTATTAAACTCAAATAGATTTTAGAGAAAGTTTCCCGTTGTCAAATCAGAATTTGACAGTTCAGAAGTTCAATTGATAATACGTCTGACGTCCAGTATATGAAACTGCTACGGCTTCATCCGTATCCGCCACGCGCTCCACAGTCATTTTCATTCATTCATTTACGCTTCGCTTTTTCAAAGATTCTGTAGGTATCGCTACCTAAATGTATGAGAAATCTTTTTCATTTTCTATATAAGGGACTTACTGAATCTTGTCTTGATATTTGTCTATATTCTCTTATATAATGAATAATGTAAACAATTGGTATTGGTATACAACAAATAATAAATATAATCCATCCAAGTGCCAAACTCCAGTTCGGAAATTTATATGTACCACTTTCAAGTGGTTTTGATTGAATTAACTTTGATATTATTATTATCTATATGTATAAATGAAAAATCATATTAAAACCTATAAAGCGGTCTAAGACAATACTAATATATTTTATTGAAGAAATGTTTACGTTTTGGACAAATGTCATCGATCTTACAATAATGGATCGCCTTTACATTGATAAATCTAATCTGATGTTAAAAGTGTCTACATATACATTTGTAGACGAATTCAGTTGATCTTACCAGCATAAGTAATGGTGCACTTATTCTCCAAGTAAAAAATAAAAAATATTCAGCAGCGCGTTTTTCTATCATCATTTTAACATCATTCATAAATCTATTAAAACCATAAATATAAGCAACAGTAATAACTTCAATAAAGCCAACGACAATCATCGATAAATTTGCTGCATATTCTTGTAGTAATTCAAACCAGTAATATCCACCCTATAACAATTCTGAGAGAACAGGACCATGCACCTCAGAACCAGAAACTAATGGGAAGTATTTGATTATAGAATACATATTGCTCGATTTTAAGAATCTTGAGCATAAGTTTAATAAGGGCATGTTTCGACTACGAGAGCTAAAACTGGTCTCTGATAAGACTAATTCAACTCAAAGTGTGGCAAACAGCATAACCTGCGATGCAAAAGTAATTGGACAAAATGTCTCACCATTTTTCTTGTGATAAAATATATTTCGGAAAAATGAAACAAATCTGTTGAGAATCTACATATAAATAGCTGTCGAACTGTGTGTTCGAAAATTTTCTAGCGGTTTTAGTCTCCTCAGATTGAGCGAATCTTTGTTATGCCCTAAAAACTAAGTTTGTAAAAAAAAGAAAATTTGGTATTTTTCGACAAATGTAAGTCACGGGGTTGGCAAAATCGAAAAGCAAGAAACGTCTCTTGTGGACCGTTTTTGCCCTTGCTTTCTGCAACAGAAGGCAATGAAAATGTTCCTTCGGTCAGACGAAAAATATTTTTTTCCAGAGCAAGAAAGTGTGTGACTCCTTCCACCCCATCATGCACCCCGCTCAGTACTTGTATTCCTTATATAAATTTTTTGTAACGTGCTGCTAATTCAAAATTTCCACAAGATTTCATGACGTGGGGTATTTCTACGTGTTTGTTCACACAAACGTTATGGACGGATAACGTAGTTTTACGTTCTTTGCTTTTACTTATTAGTCAGGCGACATTCAATTTGTATACTGTATAGAGAAGTCGAATAGTCATTTCTATTGGCTCGGCAACAACGGTTAGCCCAGAATTCATGCTTGCGTCGTACAAAATATACCCGTCCGTTAAGTGTTAAATCTAGCATATAATATATACAGGTATTTGCTGCTTAGATTGCACAGATTTCACAAAAATTAAAAAGAACGTATGACTTTGTTCTTGACAAATAGAAAGTATAATATGTTAAAATACTTACTGGGCATGTGAAAGGTAAACTGACAAGATATGCTGTTGCACAAGTTATAATAACAGCAGACGATCTTTTATTTTTTAATCTTGGACATAATTCAACAAGTGTTGTTATTGGAACGTCGGTGTATGCAAACTATAAAGTGTGTGAAATAGTTAAAACTGTAATTGTATAAACGCATCACAACTGATCTACTTACCTGTGAACCTAATCCAAGTGTCAATAACATAAGAAAGAAAATAATTGAAAAAAATGGACTGGCAGGCACTAAACGAAAAGTAAACTATATTCTTAAGTATTCAATAGCAATACTACCATCGCCATACTGACTATGTGTAATTGCTTCTGGATATGTTATGAATGCAAGGCCCGGTCCACTTCTTGCTGAATATGAATCAACAGTTACATTCAATTCTTTCGCTAAAAAACCAATTGTTGAGAAAACAGCAAAACCAGCAAAGACGCCTGTTAGACAATCACAGGAAACAACAATGCACATTTGTCTAAAAAAGGATTGTAAATATTTGATTAGAACTCTATGTTAAGTGTGAGTAAAATTACTGAAAAAAATTGTTATTGAACTTATTTGAACTTGAATAAGCAATTAATGAACCGAAACTTAAACTTAATGAAAAAAATACTTGGGTAGCAGCTGCTTGCCATGTCTTAAAATAAGAATAAAAATAAATTATTTATTGGTTCACCAGATAAGTAGCCCATGTGATACATACGGAAAACTGTCCAACACGATCCCACTGTGGTATCACATAAAATTTAACACCATCTATAGCACCTTTTAATGTTCCACTTTGTATTATTAGTATGGTTAAAACAATATATGGAAATATTGCTGTAAAATAAGCAACCTTAAAATGAAAAATAAACCGGCAACCGGTTAATCTCACTTTGAAGATAAAATTGACTTTGCACGGGAATTCTTTAAGTGAACTGCCGCTTTGTCTCAGAACATAAAAAACAATTGTAGATTACAAACGACGAAGGGTTTTTCATTTTGTAACTATACCGAACGCTTTTTCGCTTTAAAAGCCCGCAAAAACTTCTTTTCTATAAAAGGAACTCTCGAAAAAAAGCATTACAGCACATAAATAAACCAAAAAGATTTTGAAAAAATCTGAAAAATCCCGCTTAATATACCATTAAGTCGATTTTTTTGTATCGACTATTAAAGAAAATGGCTCTTTAGACAGTTTTTTATGTCTAAAAAGCCCAAAATCGTTCAGTATAGATACAAAATGAATTTCGCTTTCGAAAAAATACAAATGAAAAGCTCAAAATTTTGAAAATTTTGAGAAATTTTGAAAAGCTCAAGTATTTTGTCAGACTTAAAAACCCAGGAGAAAAATCTTAAATACAGATCTTGATAAAGCTTTAAAGATTTCTTAATTTTCGCGCCAGATTTTTGAAGAACTTTTACAGATTTACCAAAATCGTCAAGATTCTGAATGAAAAATAGTGCTGTAGGTTTTCCACAAGTTTTATATCAGAATCTATCTTGAAAAAACTTGATCAAGATTTGTAACTGTGACTGTAAGTTTGCTAAATGCAGTGCTTTAGAACAGCAACTGCAAGTACAGTATGTAGTATTTGTTTCTATTATAAATGAAACTTCATTTTCAGGTGATTTCGTTTACATCAGCCGTTCTACGCTGATAACTTGTTTCAGTCTGAAGCTAGAGTCAGTACAGTGATAGCATATTGCCGAATTCCGACGCCGCAAAAAATACGACAGCGGAAGCTTTCCTACAGTTAAGCAGAAAAGATAAGCACAAACTTATCAACATTCGCTTAAGTTGCTACAAACTCCGAAAATTATGTTTGACTTGGACGGAATAATCTTTTACCTTAAAGCTGAAAGATGGTATATAAACACAAAACTAATAATCGAAAATACGCGTAATTGCACACAGAACTCTTGATATGTGAACTGACGCTGATGACTCATCGTTTCAATAACAGATTATGCACTTTGAATATTCATTAGACGAATCTATTAAATTTAATAAAGTTTCTAATTGAAAAATATTTGGCGTTTTCGGTTTTTCCAGGAAAGCAGTAGTTTTCGAGATAAATCAGTTTTGGCGATGTGGTGGCGCTGCTGTTAAGAAACTACTGCTTTCAGGAAAAACCGAAAATGCTAGATATTTTCTAATTAAAACATGCAGAAATCTGAACTATCCTTTCGCTTATACTTGATTTTATGGAAAAGGACAGAAATGAATAAAATATTATTTCTAAAAAGCGAACCACCCCATTCAAGCAGTTATTCTGCGAGAAACAATTCTTCGCCATGTCGGTTTTCCGCTAGAAATAAAAAGTCCCGTTTTGTTTTTAAGACAATCAAAAATCTTTTTGAATTTTTAGTTCTTTTGAAAAGGAGATTACTTTCTTACGATACAAGATCGATGGACATTACCACAACAAATATTTGAATATCAAGCATCTCGGTCTCAGTAGATAAACAAAACATAAAAGCTAGAACTTTATATCAGGTTTTTGGTCTTCATAAAAAATTTATTGCAAAATTTATTTTAAAAGACGTTGCCGGTTAATAGTAAAAAACCGAAAGGAATTTTTGATTATTATAAAAAAAGCATCATGGCTTTTTGGTAACACATTTTTTGGTAAAAACCATGGATTTTTTAACCTATAAACAACCATATTTGATTCTTTAGTTTCGCATATAGACCGAAAAGGTTTTTTATCGGATTCCAAAAACTGTTGAGGTTTTTTTCTATATACGATTTATTTTTAGAGTGTACTTTACTATAGGTAGTTTGATAATGATCACAAATCTAATACTTGTGTCTTTTGGCACACATGAGTCTTTTTTGCTTAACGCGACAGAAATCGGCTTCTTGGAGACTATCGTGAGGTTTCAACCGGACACATAATAGTACCACCAGCACACTGAGTACCCATGTAGAAATGTTTTCGGGACTAACAGATCAGTTTCATACGGCTTATAAAGCTTTCTGATTCAATAAAGGGCCTAAATTTTTCAGCGTTTATTCCAATGAATGCTGTATGAACCGTAAGAAACTGATCTGTTAGTCCCAGAAATATTTCTACATGGGACTCAGTGTGCTGGTGGGCACGAGTATGGGTCCGGTTGAAACTTCACGATCGTCTTCAAGAATCCGATTTCTGTTGTGTTATGCTAAAAGAGCCATGCGTGTCAGAACACACAAGTATCAGGTTCGTGATCATTAGCAAGAACTACTTATATTAAGTTCTGAGATACAGAGAATTTCACGTGACATGACACAGTTCTACAACGATTTTTACAATATTACAGTCTATGAGGAGTAGATGGGCACATTTATCAGGCACAGTTAGTACACAGCTCGGACATACCGACTATACTATATCCCTTCCGAACAATGTATGGATCTCGAACAGATTTATGGCAAAGAATTACAGAAATCTAAAAACTCAAAAATAAGTTTTCTTCAATTACCGTTTTGTGGAGCATGTCATATTATCCATGCTTTGTTAGTTTGGAGCATATAACTAAGTATTTTCTTTTGACTGAATATAGATTTCTCCTTTACACGGTTATTCTACTTACTTTTCCAGATGATTTGACACCTCTTATAATACATAAACATACAACAATCCATGCACCTAATAACACCAGTGCATAATATTTTTGAGGTACACCAAAATCTTCAATCTTTTCACTTTTACCCAATAATAATAAACTATGAACGACAATAATACACAACATTTGATATCGATGAGAAGCGTGCGATTAGAGAAGAAAAAAATAATTACTTGAAAAATTCTTCAGCTGCCGGAATTCTCTTATCAATATCTATTGTTGTATTCAATGATATATTACTAAATATGGTAGCATTATTATTCATTGTCATATTACATCTTGGATCTTTGCTTGTTACATTAAAACCTAAATTTCAGCATATAATTAATCCGATAGAGAAGCATTAGTCAACACAACGACACCAAAGTCAATTCCTTGAACATCAACACATATATTAAATAATGAAAATGATCCGCGCAGGCAAATACAAGAAAAGAAAATGTAATTTTCTACGGTTTGTGCAAGAGTTGTAACTACAAACAGTTTGAAGCTTGATGGCTTAAAGCAGAACTGATATACATTCTGAAAAATAACCTGTTGCATGTCCATACATTCTGCGACACAGACAGCGGCTGGCGACACATTTTTTAAGTTGTGACTGCCACAAATGCAACACATTATAAAAATGGCTAAAAGTTAATATTTTCGCTTGTCTTTACATTTTTCTTTAATAAAGAGATATCCCCTTCAGAAAATCAATGCACTGAGTCTCTCTATCTCTCAGTTTAAAGATTGTAAGAGTGCTGCTTTGAAAGATAAAGTTTATGAATATGTAAGGCATTTATGCAAGTAATGTCGCTAGTTATCGGTTAGTACCGTTTGATTTACCGATTCTGTTGCATATAAAAAATGTTATTAAAGAAATTTTTTATTTTAATGACTAGCATCAGAGATGGGCAGCTCCGACCCCTTCCGGCTCCCCCTCCACTTTTGCATACTTGGCTCCGGCTCCACTCCGGCTCTGCCTTCAATTTTGAATATCCGGCTCCGACTCCTCCCTAATGTTTTTTAAACCCAGCTCCGGCTCCGACGTCCGCTAGCAAGTGGGTGCGATTTTAGTGTCATCGTACTGAATCGATTTGTCCTTGATAGTAGAATCAGAAGCGATAGTTGAATCGTGAACGATAACATCATCAATCACAATTGGTGTACAGTCAGATTGATCGTCGGGATCAGAGATCATCGTTAGTAAATGGTTGATGAAAAATATGTTAGTTCAGAATATGATCAAATATGTTATTGCTGTTAGATGCGCGAAAACGTTGATGTGAATAAATAGTTTTCTCGTAGAAGAATAGCTAATATTTTATATGTGAAATTCAGGCAACAGTTGAAATATACCTAAGTTGTCATAAGACGGAAAGAAGGAAAAAGTCAAGAGAAAACAATACGAAAATACTTTACAGAAAGAAATTATCATCTGATCGACGATCGAGAGTTAGCCACTTGTAACAAAAGAAAGATGTAGATATTACCGATACATATAT